TAAAAATAATGGCACAACTTCCAACGCGAGCTGGATGGTTATCAAATCCCTGCAGGTTTCCTAGCAGTTCCTTGACTTCTTACTTTTTTTCATACATTTTCTTTTATACATATAAGGTCCCATGTTTACTATGGCAAGCTAATTATGAAATATCTTCCAGACTATGTAAATATCAGGAAAAAAATAATAATCCTGAGATGTTTCACTGGGTTTGCAATTGCTTTGCAAGATGTGTATGAAAGCAAACTGGAAGGGGGCCCTCAGTATGCTAGCTCTTGGTGAGTCAGGATTATGGCAGAGGTGCTAGATGTCTGTTTTAACCAGACATCATTACTACCCTCTTTTGAAAGTGTTGTTTGTAGTGCAGAGGAAGAACTGAAACCTACATTTTCCAGAATCTCCTTGCTATGGGTTTCTAGGTTAGAGAGTTGACCAAAGAGAGACAATGGAGTATGACTGGGAAATCTGAAGAGGAGCAGCAAGGCAATGGCTGGGAATTCCCAATATTTGAAGCAATGAACATTTTGAGGACTCCCTCCTCTACACACATACCTCTTTCCAACCCTGTTGGTGCTACAAATTGAGAAAGACCATAAGAGAATCTCACGTGTTCCTGAGATATGCAGAAATGTTTCAGCAAGCTCTTGAGAATCCCCTGCCTCACTGCTAAAGCTGAGACTAGGTGGCATCTTCACTGCTTATAAAAGCCTCTCTTTCCTCATATTAAAACCCTTCATAATTTGAACACACATTGACGTGTCTTCTATTTTCCCTGTCAGAATTCAGACTGATACCATAGCATTTTCCCTTTGGTTTTTTAAACTTTCTAAGCTCCTGAATTTATACAAGGTGGGGGGGGCCGGGGAGGGGAGTGGTGAATCAGGGAGTAACAGAATTTTTTGGACAGAAATAGGCAAGAATGTTGTACTTTACTGTAGCTGTAGCCTCAGCATAGGCTTCGGAAATTCATCCCCATCATGGACACTTCCTGGCTGTCCCTCTCCCTGTACTATTTCTCTCCTCTCCAGCACAATGCCACAGTGAGTCCTGCCTGTACTTGCTCAGTACGTCCTGTGTGAAGGACAAATGTCAAGGATGGCCTGGAAATCAGGGACACAGAACTCCGATTTTTTTCCTTCCTTCTGTCACTGAGTGACTCGATCTCCCTCAGCAGTTCTTGCTGTCACCTTCTGTAAAATGGGAATGATTAATACTTACCTTCCTGATGTTATAGGGCTGTCTCCAGGATAACATGATCTATCCTCTAAATAGAAGTGTTTTCTCCAAAAGCCACAAGGTCTATATAAAAGCAAAGTCTATGTCTAACCGTTACCAGATAAAGAGTGGTAATACTTGGTGTGAAGGGGTCTGTGCTGAGCATATTTAGAGACATTTTGCCAACATTTCGACATGTCAACTTTATAAATAGACACCCACTGATGACACAGTATGTAGATTGGTACCAGGTAGCAACTGAGACGATTAATACAGCCCTTTTCCCCTGATACTCTGATGACATGCTCTGACCTAGGGCAAGACTCTCAGAGATATTGCAAGGGTAAAACCTGCATATACAAAAAAAAAAGTGTATATTACAACCTATGTCTTACAGAGAGTAAGTCCCTTCTTTAAGAGCTTCTGTTCTTAAAATAATTTCATTAGTTGCTTCAGTTTATCCTATTCCCTTCTTACCATCAAAACACCAAAGCTTGGAAACTATTAAAGTAACTACCTACTTGGAAGTTACACTATGTGGCTAAATGTCATCTGACAATGAATCAAAATAGTTAGGGTCCTGTCCTTGATGAGTTGAGTTTGGGGAAGGAGCAGGATAAAGTTCTGAGGTCCATAGGATTGACCTTCTCCTTCAGTGTGTAATCACCCCCAAAGGAAGACAGGGCTCCTTTCTGAGACACAATCAATTTACCTTACAGAAATATTTAAGTTACTGACTTTGTCCTGGGTTTCTATCACTTGTCGTGTACTGAACAAATATTTACTGAGTTCCAATTAAACAAGAGGGTCCATATCAGGCACTTCAGATACAATAGTGAACCAACAGATACAATCTGCTTTACCCCCTTATCTTCCCCACCCCCAAAAAATTATAACCTATCTAGGAAAACAGCCCCCAAGTCGGGAAAACTGGCCTAATATGAATGTGTAGGTTGGCACCAGAGGAATCCTCTTGAAGCTGTGATGTTTAGTCTGGACGTGGAAGAATGAGTAGGAGTCAGAGATGTTAAAGAGAAAAAAGTTTAGATTTTGTACTGCCCTTCACGGAACTTTCTTTTATGAGGAGCTGAAGACATACAGGTACCCGCCCTCTCTCGTACAAAGCAAGGTATGAACAGATACACTAAGAGGATAGAAACGACCACTTTAACTACCTCAAGAAGGGGGAAAACTCAATATAGATAAGATCAGGAAAAACTTCATGAGGGAAGCAGAAAGTATCACACATTACTAGCTCTATGATGTATGGGTTATCTATAAGTTAAAGATGGAAAAAGAGAATCCTCTATTGTCTGATCATTATTCTGGGCCCAGACATTCTTTGCATTTCAATCCACAGTCTCTAGGACATGAAACTTGGGCCTATCATAACTGACATTGGAAGTTACATAAAAGGACAAGTAAAGGGAAAATGGCATGTGTGGAAAAATAGCAATTTGCACATGAACTACTGCCCCCCAGTTTGTGTAGTTGTTGGTGCGGAATGAAAAGAGATTGGGAACTGGATGACTCAAAAATGATTTGCAAATAGAACTTCCACTAAGGATTTTATAGACTAAGTTTCAGACATCAGAAAGAATTTCTTTTGGGCAAGAATTGATATAATCTGTCCTCACAATGTGCAAATAACTCTCTGCATAAGTGTTTCTAAACTATTCCACAAATGTACTCACAAATAACACTCAGTTTGGTGATTTATATGATCAGAAATTTAGAATAACTATAAAAAAAGCAAGATGTCATTAACTGGTTCTATTCTTGGTGCCAAAAAATATGACTTTCCTCATTTGTCAATGTATGATTTATGCTAAACTAAAAGATGACAGTTTTATCTTCTCTCTATATAAATAAGTCCAATAATCCAGCTTTAATGATTATCTTTGGCTCTCTCTGTTCTGGTCTTTACCCAACTTAGGGCCAAAAAACTGGTGATGGTCTCATGAAGTAGACTTACATTTTTTTCAACATCCAAATCCTTAGCACTAAACAGGCAACCAATATATTACATGTGTAGGGATATTCCTCAGTACAGTTGAGATGTCTGTAATTGGCTCCTTTTAGATAACATTTTTACCACTGATTTGGGGCTCTGGTTCTATCCAAGGGCACCTTTTTTCACTCTACCCTCCTTTAGCATTTTTGTATACTCCAAATATTACTCAAAAATATCTTCCAAACACATTGTCTTACATTCCCTTTTTTAAGATTCAGATTTCTCATTTTATTGTTTTAATACCAGATGAGCATTGTCCTACTACTGTGATTGTAATTTATCTAATCACTTCCTTCTGTTCTGAAATCTCAATTTCAAGTCCAGATCAATTTTTACCAGTGGACTTTAGGGTTCTAAGACTTTAGTTCCTATGAGTGTAATCAACAGTCTACAAAGAGTAAATTTACCCTTATTTAATACAAGTGGTTTCTGAAACCAAAAAATAAATCCATAAGGAGATGATGCTAGGGTTAATTTCTTTTCCCTTCTAGAAATGATATTATTGTTTCTCTAAGAGAATTCCAAAAATCACACTCTAAAGGCATATACTCCAGACCCTCATAAGCATATTCAATAAAGGAAACCTGCATGCAACACTAAATACTGCATCATCACCTATTTATCTTACTATAAGCCAAACTGATTTTCATAAAATTTACACTTAATGAATAGAATTACAACAAACTGAAACTGAGCCAACATATGTTAAAATGTAGAAAAATTTTATGGAGTCGACATCAAACAGGCAACACAGACCACATCACAGACATGAGATCCTGCATTACTCTTTTCATTGTTTCCTGCAGAATGTAACTATATAAGTATATCTTTTGCCAGCACCCACATGTCCTCTTAGAGGGCCAGCTCCACCACCTTCTGTGCATCTCCCCAGCCTTTGCTCCTAACTATCCATTTTACAACGTAGCTGGGAGGATGACAAAGCTGGAACAGTCCTTATTCAGTGTTCCCTACATACACAAAGGCAATTTCCTCTTTGGGGAGATGATGTTTAAAGTGAGTGATGACCTCGATCTAAGTCTGTTTTCACTTATCTTTGGATGGGAGATTCACAACTGGGAGACATGGCTGACATCATAACTAGGGTAAAACAAGGTACACAAGTTACACTATGTGGCATTTTTCTGTCCTAACCAACTTCAACAAATGTGACTACAAAGAGTTCAGGCCAAGCAGTCAGGTTAAGGGATATGACATTCTTTAATTATATTCCACACAACTCTAGACATGGCAAGGTTTTACAAGAACTGAGTAAACCAAATTAACGTTCCCAGGCTCAGAGAATTCAGGGAAAACTGTAATTGACTTTCTCCAATGTTGCCAGGCACACTGAAATTCTTTTTCACAGTAACGCAGAGTTCATTCATTTTGAAATTACAGATTTCAACTATAACACTCCCAAACAATGATGCTTTTACAATTATTAATGAGTTTCCAAATTTCTTGCCATCATTTTTCTGGAGGTAACCATTTATTTAGTAATTTTTAAGTACTAAATGTCCTTATTTAAAGAAAAAAATCATAAAATTGTATTATACCATGGATTTATTTGCCTTCCCAGTAGACTGCCAGTAAATTTTGTTTAATATGAGTTAAAATCACTAGGTTTGACAGGTATGGTTTTCTCATCAAGGACTTAAAAAGCACCGAGTTCCTTCTCAAGTGCCGAGGCAGCAATAATGAGCCCAGAGCTCTACATAACCAAGTGTCCCTCTGTGCAACCACTGAGAGCAATAAAAAGTTTAGTTCCTACCTCTGTGGCTGGTGAGTTCTCTGGAAGCAGAAGGCAGGGGTGTATAGTGGCACTCCGGAGAGGCAACAACACTGTCACTGGAATCCTGTGTGATAAAAACAAATATCCACCATGAAGCATCACCAAATGCTAAATGCCTTCGCTTACCAAACATTTATCCATGGGATCTGGGTCTGGAGGAACACTGTCAACCAAGACTCAGGTATACAATACAGGAATACAACCAAGACTTAGGAAGCAAGAGCTGTCTGTGTTGAGATAATATTCTGGTAAGTGGAAGACAGAATACAAAATGTTGAGGTGCCTCGGTAATGATGGATGGGCTCTGAGACAAGGGGATGGTTTGTTCATTGTGCTGCACTGAGAAAAGGAAGAGGTAGGAAATAGAGAAGTGGAAAGCAGGGAACAGAGTGGATTTAGATTTCTGTCACAGGCCTTCTTCAGTAATTCCCACTAATGAAATCCTCACATGAGTAGATTTTTATGGACATCCAGTAATGAGACTGAACTTTGGCCCCAGGATGGATGGGGCCTGATGGCCTGGAGACAGTGAGAGGCACAAGATTTAAGATAGGAGCATGCATAACCAGATGGAAGGACAGAAATTGTTGCAAACCTTACAACGGTGTCTCTGGCTAAGTTTATCAATATTACCTTGATATTGGAAATTGAATGGTTGTCTACAAAACTTTGCCATTCTAAGACTTAAATCACATGAAAAACATCTATGAAGATGCTTTTGATGGTTCACAAAGAGCACTTTAACCACCATACTGTATATGGGGTGACCCAGACTGATAACAACCTCTTTATTCAATTCTACATCCATGGGGGTTCAGGGCAGGAAGAAAGGGCTATGACTGTGGGGTCCACTGTCACTCAGAACTGATGACAGGTAAGTCACATTCAGACTCTGGCTGCTTATAGCAAGAAGAATCACCATTGCAACTCTGACTGAGAATTCTGAATCAAATGCTACTTTTCTTTTAATATCCAAAAAAGAGCATCTGCTAGGATCAAAATCCTAAGCTTACAACCTTTCCAAGCTTCATGAAAAAGTAAATTTCATTAATGCTACATTTTTCTTTTTGGAATAGGAAATACATTCTATGGGATATATTTGCCCTGCTAGGGGCAGACTTTTTCTCCAAAGAGATTATCTACATTATAGGAATCAAAACTAAGTAGGAGATTAGACCTACTGGCTAGAAAAACCCTTTAAACCCTGGTTCTGACATTTGAGATGTTTGATTAAGCAGCTTTCAGGGGAGACTTATAGAAAGAGTTCTGAATGGAGCAAAATCAGAAACAGTGTCCCTAAGGTAGACAGATTTCAGGTAGCATTACTTCACCCCAGCTCCAAGGGAAATATATGGTGTTTAAGCTTGACCCAAGGGTATCGGGTCCAGCTAGATAAAAGTTCAGTCACAAAAAAGAATGTTTTAAAAAGAACATAAGACTTGCTAGATACTACATCATTAGATATTTACAATACTGAAAAAATATAAAAAGAGTAAGAAATCAGATTAAAATTCAAATACTAGAATCATAATGTGTCTCTCCATTTGGCATTCAGGGTTTTGCAATTCCTACAGGAAGAGACACAAGGACCATGTTCTGTATTGTATCTATTCAATGCTTGAGGAGGGGGTGGAGGGAGGCAGGGGGAGAGGAAAGAAGGGAGGGAGAGAGGGGGGGAGAAAGAGAGAGAGAAATAGAGAGAGAGAGAGAGAGAGAGAGAGAGATGGGATGGAGGCATGGGGGCATCCTCCACATATCTAAAAGACTTCTTCTTCTGCAAGAGGTCATAGAGTCTATTGGTGTTTCCACTCACCTCACTGCTTAGAAGGCCTAAAATTCTGGTATGAGTTGTAAGTTACTGGATTGTGATATTTCTTAGTATTTTTAATCTCAATTTGGGCTGTTGACAATTTGATGACAGCTTTTCCTAAAATTACTAGAAAAAAACACCTTTCAGCAAATACCTCTGACTGGGCAAAACATTAGACTTTTATAACCAAGAGTAAAATAGCTATTTAGTTTTATTTCCAATTGTAGTCAAAGAAAAAATTGTGTGGCTTGAGTTCTGTTTTGCAGTCATCATTCTATGCCTAGCATTTAATTGCATTTCTCCTCAATGCCCATTTATAAACTCAAGTCATGGAAAAGAATCCTGGAAAAGTACAATTTTGAAACTACATTTTTTAGCGAGACTTCAAATGGATGGATGTTTAGGCAAACTTCTACAAATGAGGATTCTAACTACAGCCCTTTGGCTTGGCTTTTGTCAAAATGAAGACCACCTGACCTTTTCAAGAGTGATATACACATGTGTTACTCTGAGTGTTATACTTATAATCATGATTTGGAAAAGCACAAATATCATATGAAGGAAATGGACAAGATAATGTCCTCAATTTGCACACTGTCTTTCCAATAATAAAAAACTCCTCTTGAAACTGAAGCATATGAGTATAAAAGAAACAAATGGAAACATTTTGGTAATTTCTTTTAACCTGGCTTAAGAGGATCTGTCTAAAATAGGAATAGGGAAATTTGGGTAAATCTTAATCTTCAGAGCCACAAACAGTCTCAAACTTGAATCCTAGCCATATTTTCTAACTATCAATGGCAAAGAATTTTTAGTCTTTAAATCACTCCTGTTAAGAGATATTTGTAATATCTGTAATAAAATATCAGTATCCAGAATGCATAAAGAATGTCCCTATATAAATATTTAGTAGAAAAAAAAATGATCAAAAGAAATATCAGGTAACTTAAGAGAAAATCTGAGTGAGGTATGCAAAGAGAAGATGATAAAATTAACTGGTCCTATGGGCAAGACAAATTAAAATAAGGGTTTTGGGGTTTTTTTTGCCTATCACATTGGCAGACATTTAAGTCACATAGTGACAAGTGGTATGGAGAATAAAGAGAAATAAAACTCTTCTCATACCTAGCCAGTGGGAATAAACATTAGTTCAAGTACTTCAGAGAATAATTTAGCAATATTTAATAATATTGAAAACTGGTACACCAATTCCATTAAAATACATACACAATGGAAATTTTCATTTAGGTCTGTAGGGTGGAACATAAAACAATGTTATGACAGCATTATTTGGAACAGAACAAACTGGAAATAATTCAATTGTCCATCAATAAGGAAAATGGATAATGTTGTGTATTTATGTGATAGAATAATATTTAGTAATGAAGAGCAATAAATCTGATTTATTTATTTATATCAACTTGAACAGATCTAAAAACTAAACACAGTGAAAATTCAAGTTGCAAAATGATAAATGTATACATAACTTATGCAAATGCATATAGTTCTTTGATCTCATGGGTGTATGAAAACATATAAACATTACAAAAGTTAAACACAGATCATAAAAATGGGCATCTCTGTTAGGGGACTGGGAAATAGAATGGGGACTAGTGGTATGGGGGAACTTCAGTTTTATATAGGAGGCTATTTCTGTATTTTAAAGACAAGACTTGAAACAAACATGTCAAAATACTAAAAACTATAAACATTGTATGGTAGCTACATGCATTTTAAAATTTTTCTATGTTTTTTAAATTTCTCAAAATTAAACATGAAAATTGAAAAACAAAGGCTCCTGTTTCCTCTCTCTTCCATTCGGTCACATGTTGATAGGAGCCCATAATTGGAGGGAAATTTCCTGTAACAATTGCCCAGTACTCGCATGACATGGATTAATGCCATCTCTGGTTGACTTCTTATGACGAAATATTCCATTTCTGTTTCTTCTAAAGCTACTGAGTATGATGAGAGAGTGGAAAGACTTGCTAATAGTAAATATGTAGCCCCTTCAAACCAAGGTTTGAGATACTCAATCTAGCCTTGTAAACACTCTGCTGAAGATTTGTCAATGCACACTGAAGGTTTCTCTGATCTTCTCTTACAATTGGAGAGCTGCTAATAATTTTTTAAATTCACATCAATAATGATAATAGTCACTAATCTACTGCTCTCTGCAGTTTCCATTATGCAGGAAGGAAGGTAAAACTTTGGCAACCTTCCTGGAAAAGATTCAATGAAAGTACAGCACCGCCTACGAGAGACGTGCGAAGTGAGAATTTCACTCAGCGGTTACTGAAAACAAATGTCTTTGGATGAATGTGTAAAATTCAAGCCCCTTCCCATTGGGTGTATTCTGTGGAAACCTGCATTCCAGTGGATATTTCTGAACATCACGGATGCCCTGAAGGAACATGATACAGACCGCAGGAGGAGAGACTTGGCAGGCTTCAAAACAAGAAGGGGGCAGCTACAAAGTTGTTTAATAGCCATAAATCTCCCACTATTTTTCACAAAATACCATCTAAGACCACAGCTCCACAACTCATTCCCCATCACTCAGCTCAAGTGGAGCGCTTTGGCATGCTCACTCACCCTTAAATCACATACCGCATAAAGTGATCCCGGGTCTGGGAAATTTGTCAGCCTCTTTCAAGCAAAAGCAATCTTCACTTTTCATCACAATTCATTCCCTGAAACTGTGGTATAAAGCTGACTCCTCTAAAAACATTTATTTTCCCTCATAAGAAAAAACATCACTCACTTAGTTAGCAAGTATTTAATAACCACCTACTATATGTCAGGCCCTGCTCTCTGAGAACACAATAATAATGACAGTAATAAATGAGGACCTTGACTTCATTCCTGAGTCATTGAAAAAAATCATAACCACGATTAATACTGATTATTAAGAGTCACCCATGTGTAGCATGACCCGCATAGTCTGTATTATCACAAAACTTTGTCCTTGACCTCCACCGGGACACCTGAACATGTGGAACAGTAATTGTATCCTTGCATGTTTCTTATTCATACTAAGGGACAGCTTAGAAGGTTAACTGATATTAGCTTTCTGAGATTAACTATACTACTGACACTTGTCCCCAACAGGCTGCCAGAAATACAGGAAGAAATCAGTTGTGATAATGAAATGAATAAATAATTTTAATGTCAAAGATAAAACTATAAACCATGATTGTAATTCAACACAACAAAAGGATGAGCTGAATTGCCAGAATTGGGGTAAAGACTTC